CTGATTGATGAGAGCAGAGGAAAATTGGTCATCTTTCTGTCTTCTTGTGACATGAAATAGTTCATCCAGTGGACACTGAATGACAATTCCGCTTTCTGTATCCCCCCCTACTTCAAGTCTGAACTATTTGCAAAGCTTTGCAGTGGAAAGCCAAGGCAGTTCTTGTGGTATATATAAATTTAAGAATTATATTTCATCTCAGAAATCTGCTTAACCTGGGTATGGTTTGGTCTTGTTTCATGGGGGAGCCCAGGCTGACATTCTGCAGGGTAGGGACTGGCCTGTGCTCCCACTGAGTGCAAGGGGAGGTGAGCATGGTTAGCACCGCTCAGCCGTGACAGAATTGTGCTGTAGCAGATGTGAGAGTGGAACAGGAGCTGCCCCTGGACAGGGAGGAAAAATGGTATAATCACAGTGAAATTCCTGCATAAGGTTGGCAGTTCATTTGTGAGTGAGTAGGTCTCTCTTGCTGATTCATTTTCATTATGTAATGAAGTTGAAAGGCCCTTTCTATTCACACCCTCTCCAAAATAGCTGTGGCCTGTTTGTATGGATAGCTGGTGTGTTCTTGAATGAACCAGAATAACCTAACTCATCATGGAGACTGCAGGCACTCCTCTGGCTAAGAGTACACATGAGTTTATGGATGCAAGGGAAAGGAGAAAGGCTAAGTGAATAATAACCACCATTGTGGCAGAAACAACAGGAAACCCATATTGTTCCTCACTGTAGTCAGTGTTAAGGAAACCTTCCTGTCTGACCATCCAGGAGTCACTCTGGCAGTCACTCTTGCATCACCTGAGTTGGGACTGAGGTCCTTGTGCAGTCGGCAGATGCTGTGAGCTGACTGATGCCCTGCTTGCCTCCCTGCACACCCCATACTCACACAGTCAGACCAGGTTTCCTTACCAGTTTGACCTCAGGTTTCTAATAGCATTCTCAAAGGTCTTGATCCTGGATAACCTGGGCATTTATACCCTTGTGGTCTAAGCACATGGAAGTCTGGAGTCCTCAACTCCTACTCCATCTCTCAGTGTCTGGTCAGCTGGCTGGTGCCACAGGTCCCTGTGCCCTTTGTTATGCAAAGGGTTGATAGTTCACAGCCTCTTGTCTTGGGCTCCAGCCACCGAGAGTTCTGCCTGCAGTTTGCACTGCAGGTGCACACCTACCTACTGACACTATATGTATTCCTCAGCAATTGGAAGGCAACTTGCAGTGAAGTGGAAAAACATCAGAAAAACCTTCATGGTGCTTTTATGTCTCAAAGCTTCACTTATGGTAATGGAAATTCATTCTGGGCTTGGGCAAAGACCAAGCAGTGTCTCAGTCCCTGAGCCTTGTGAACAGTCTGTCATGGAGTGGGTGTCTTGCACCTGGTATGTTACTAGGCCTTGCTGCAATACCTTTGGTCTCTGGATGTAGGGATGTCCTTAGCATGGTCTGGGGCTGAGCTGACACAGATCTCCTGTCACATTCGTCAGTGTGGCAGCTTCTGAGTTTCGAAGACACCAAGGAGAATTTATGACAGGGTCTCATTCTTCAGAAAGTTTTTGTTAAGTTATGCTTTTGCATAGCCCCCCCAGTTTGGGGGCTGATGAAAACCAGCATTCTCAACGGGGACAGTAGGGGTCATCCTTTTTACTACACCTGTCACCAGGTGAGCTCAGTGTCTTCTTGCTTATTTCTCTCACCACTTGGACATGCCTTGCCAGGAGAGAAGTAAGAACTGTGTCCATATCAGTCAAGTAATTCCCTCCCTATGGAAGGATCTGGGTAAGTTGATCTCATGAAGACCTGCTTGGGATGCTATGATTAGTTCACAGAATTAACTAATCAAGAATCATAGAATAGTTTGTGTTGGAAGGGACCATAAAGCTCATCCAATTCCAACTCTTCTGCTGTGGGCAGGGACCCCTTCCACTAGACCAGGTTGCTGAGAGCTCCATACAACCAGTCCTTGAACACTTTCAGGGAATGTGCATCCACAAGTTTTCTGAGCAACCTGTTTCAGTGCCTCACCACCCTCACAGTAAAGAATTTCTTCCTAGAATCTTTCTAATGTCTAATCTAAACCTATTCTCTTTCAGTTTGCATTCTGACCACATCAGTCTACGGTTTGTAGATCTATCAAAGGTGTGTATGTGATGGTGAGCAGCACACTTGTGCTGGCAAATTCTGTCTGGACCTTGTGATCTTCCAACAGACTTTGAAGACAACAGAGTCTCTTATATCCATTAGAACGTGTTTCAGTTTGCGTCTACAACATGAGATCTGAGAGATATTTTAAATGAACAATTTCAGAGGTTTTCAATAAATGCAATATTATATTTATTATTATTTCTTTTCAAATTATTAGAAATACAATTAAAATACAGGAGCAGAAAATATTACAATTGAATTAGAAAAATATTGCTAACTATAGGTGTGTATTTTGGGATTCATTTTCATCAAATGCACGGTTCACGATGCAGCCATAATCTTGCTGATGTACTCTGGCATCCAACTCATCCCATTGCACAGAATTCCTTAGTGTTATATCTGTAGCCACCTTTGTCTTCCTTCTGTACAATTGGACACAAAAAAATGAGCAACAACTTTTTAATTTCTATTTGTATCACAATTGTGTGAGCTTGAATGGAGTCAGATTTTGGAGAATTTCATGATAAGTGATAGATGTGCCTTGTGTAAAAGAAATGGCATGTGTTCATTCCTGAAAAAAAGAGGGAAGTTTTTCCTCACATTCTTCAGAAGAGATCCCAAATGCTATGGCTCCCTTCGGTCCTGCAGTCATGTGACTGATGGGAGTTTTGAGGTTTACAGGTGCTAAGAGAGGTGTATGTGTCTTGACTCTGCTGAATGTAACAAAGTTGAGAAAAGCCTTACCTGTACAGGTACATTGTAGAGGAGACGAGAATGACAAGAACAGCTACACCTGCCACAACTCCAATGGCAATGGCAATTGTATCGTCCTTGGGATACTCTATGTGTTGAACTAAAGAAGAAATCAGAGCCCTGTCAGTGAAAGCTAACCATACCATAGACAGAAAGTTTTTTCTCAACCCTTGCTTGTCTATTCGGTTTGTACTGTGTTCTCTGATGAATGTGATTTTGTGGAGTGGTGTCGACCCAGGTCCTGTACGCTCTACCAAACCCTAATGTCATGCCTTCGGGCACTTCTCCACTGGGTGTCTGACCCCTTATTTCTGCTTGGATGACCACAGGCTCTCACCCTGGCTTACTAATGTCTTCATGTTACTGGGTTACTAATTTACAGGCCTACTAATTTACATCACAAACATGAAGGGCAAGCTCAGTCTTCTCCATAATGATGAGCATTTTTGAAAGTGGTGTATATCATGCAGACAGGAAATCCAAGATAGTTTTATTACCTCTGTTTTCAGCCTCGCAGGTTAGTCCTGTGTACAGTTCTGAACACTCACAAGAGAAGTGGTGAGAGGTGCCGTTGGTAGTTTCAGAGCAAACACCATCATTTATACATGGATTGGGCATACATGGTCCACCTAGGAAAAAGGAAAGAGAAACCCTTGACTCCCAGATAATCCAACCCTGAGGGAACTGTTCTTGCTTAGATTACACTGACTCCTAATGTTGCACATCCCCTGTATTTTAAGGCACATTACTTGTACCTGAAAACAGGAATAAGGGAAAGAAACACTTGCTACAATGAAACATCAGAGCAAGGTCCCCTGTATGCTTTTCTTCTGTACAAACTCTCTTGCAACTTTGTGTCCAACCTGATGTTGTCCTATAAGGTAAGTCAAGACTTTATAGCATCAAGGACAGTGTGATAGTGGTTGACTCACTTCTGTAACATCCACGACTGTAGTTTGAAATGCCACAGATTTCATCAGATGCACACTCTATGTTAGAGCAGGAAACAGTGGAGCTTTCTGTGCACAGACATTTCTGAGAGCAGTCATCGGTGACAAATGTTTCTCCAATCTGAAAGAGAGCAGTTAGATATTGAAATCTATCAAATCAGTCAGAAAAAAGCATGAATGGAGCACTGGGGCCCCATTATACTCTCTCCAGTGCTTTCCTACTGAATGGCAATAGGGCAGATTTTTTTTCCATTAGTTTGTAAAAAAAAAAAAAAGAAAACAAGCAGTTGACTAATCCAGCTCCTTGAAACTCAATGATGGCCCAAGAAATAAGGCAAAAGAAAAGTTTGAGGGATGAGACTCCAGCTCCAGGTGGAGTACATGTGCAACCAACAAGGTCTAACTGTTGATGGAGATAAGAGTGGCAGATGCATCACATGATACCTCCAAGGCAATGTGTAAATGCCATGTGCCATTTTTCTTACAAGTACCACCTGTAGTAAGTGTCTCTCTCCTCTCATAAAAATATCTTTACTGGGTTAGGCCTTTTCTGTTCTAAATCTCTAGTGTTAAACCAGAAATCTGTGAGATACTGAAGCTGTTTTATCCTGCAGCAATAACGGAGGATTCTCCTCAGAATCCAGTCTCAGTCAGGCCTCTTCATGTCCTACCCAGCACCTCAGACTCTCAACTCTGCGTATACCATGCTTCACTGAGAGGAGCAGGACCACACTGATGCATAGAATTTCTCTGTAACTTGTGTGTTGTAAACTTTAGAGCCCATGAGGCTATTACTTAGCCTGATAAAGGTGAAGAATTAACACAGGGGTCATATACTTTCTCCAAGTGCCTGCCTTGAGTATTCTGCGGGCAGTTTCAGAGGGAGACCAAAGGATGTCTTCTATCTTCCTTTTCTCCCACACCCAGAATGTTATTAAACAATTCCACTTTGTTTCTAATGCAAAATTACATGCTGAGGAGTATGAGGAGATTGTTCAAATAACTAACAGAAGAAATACTGTTTAGTGTTGTGGGAGCTGTCTGACCCACAGAGAGACTGTACCTCATAGTATTTGTTAAGGTAGGTGCAGCCACACTGTTTGTAGGGTACACATTCAAAACCACTAAGAACATAGCCAGGGAGACATTCACAGCCTTCAACACAGGGTGATTCGCACTCAGAGGGGCTGGTCAGGTCATTGCAGGATGCTGGGCATGCAGACATGCATGAGCTGTAGTTGCTGTTGGGAGGACATGATATATCTGCAAAAATAAAGAGAGTCCAGTTATACCAGGCTGCTGTGCATAACTTACAGAATTCCCTTTCAGATCCAGAGGGCATTACCATTTTGTAGGAGGCAATATGATGAACACACATACACCGAGATGTGTGTACATATATGATAGTACTGAGGTTGTAAGTAAAGCACTCCAAAGTCAGGAAATGCATCATCAAAGCTGTTTGTAGCCTGTGCTATCATTCCAGGGATGCACTGATCTCATTTAACTTCTCACACATCCCTGTAAGTGCCAGAGCCTTTCACAGCTCTGAGAACTGTGTTTCACCAGGAATACAAAGTCATCTAACCATAAAAGAAGCAGGGAAAATTAGGGGAAAAAAAAGTTTGAGATGATTGTAAGGTTTATTTCAGCATTTTTAGTCTGAAAAATTTGGAGTTTTCAGTTGAATATTTTTATCACGGAATTTCACAGGCAAAAAAGATAAATAGTAGATTTTGTAGATTGAAAGAGAGAATAAAATTAAATGCTTTTCTTTCAGATTTGTAGCTTGTGATGGTCTCCAAAATTTAAACTTTTCTGGTCCCATTGGGAATGGGGACATTTTTTCTCTCGCAAAACTGCAGATGACAGGAAGCTGACAGCTTTGCTTTTCTAAGTATCTTTATAATGTCTGGGGTCTAAGTGCCAAAGTCAGCATAGGGCACAGAAGAGAGGCCAGAAAAGCAAGAGTGCATGATAAACTGTGAAGAGGGAGTGAAGCATGAATCAACATGCTTTTACTCTTTAAGAAGATCTGAAATATGATGTGTCTAGGAAAAGCCATATATCACAGGTTTTGAAAGTCCTGTAGGCAGAATCCATATTCTCTTATTCTTCCTGTTCTTACCACAAACTGTCTGTTGCCTCCAGCCTTCCATACTGACTTCTTGCTGCTGACAAGCCAGCACATATTCTTCCAGACTGCGACATAAGGTAGCAACTGCATCTTCTTCCACACACATATCAAACAGGCAGCTCCTGTGTGCAACATGAGAAAATATTAGTTCCCGATACCTTTGTTATTGCAGGGCACTGCTCTGAGCTGGAAGTCCCAGGCTACAGGTATAATGCTTAACACTGCTGCCTTATCTGTGTGGGAGAAGAGGAAAGCTACTTTCTAGAGCTAACAGAGAAGTGAAACTCTAGATAAATGAAAGAAAGATCATACAATTATTTAAAAATAAATAAGGGGATTTAAATATATCAATAATGGAATCATTGGGCCCAGTTCTCCAAAGACACTATCCTCAGTTCCTATTAGTACCCTGGAGACTGAGGATACAAAGTTCTTGTCTGAAAGTATCACCAAAATGATTTTGCAAATGGGGTGAACAACTGTCTGCACTAGACACTTACATGGCATAGAAATCTGGTGGGACTGTAGAATGACACTTTGCAAAAGGACCATTTGAGTCAGTCAGAATTTTACACATTGAGGTTGAGTTTTGCTGCCCCAGCTGATTTTCACTGCAGCCTTGGAAAAGCCCTGTATCTGGTTCCTCTTCAGGCTCATTTTCTGAGTTGACATCTCGTCTGTAAAAGAAGTAATTAAAAACCTATCAGCTATTTCTGTATCCATCATTCATGGTACTATTCTCTAAGTAACACTGCAAGAGTACTTCTGCCTTCTGGTGTAAAGGTAAGCCTATTTCTTTTAGCCTCAGTGAGAAGGATATAGATATGGCAAATCAAAGAGGAAGGAAGGAAGGAAGGAAGGAAGGAAGGAAGGAAGGAAGGAAGGAAGGAAGGAAGGAAGGAAGGAAGGAAGGA